CTGGGCACAATACACACCATTTTCTATTCGGTCCTCATTGAGAATGAGTGTAAAATATACATGGCTGCTAAATTTGCAAAGACTAAATTGAGCTTTTTCAGCCTTGTTCTATTCTGACTGTTGGAGGCTATAGGAGGAAGTTTTATTTGAGTTCTAATAGGTTGTGAAAGGAAGTCTGCCAGCCAGCTGCCACTTACAACCATAACAATGGCTCTGTCAAACTCTGTGGTGAAGGAACACCCATTTTTCACATGTAGGAGCCATGTAATCCAACTTTGAATTCACAAAAACTAAAGCTGATAATTTTGTTTTTTCTCTCTCTTTCTTTCTTTCTTTCTTTCTCTCTTTTTTGAGATAGCTTAGACTGGTCTCAAACTTGGAATCCTTCTGTCTTGACCCTCCTGATTGCTATTACACCAGGCTTAAAAATGATCATTTAAATTCTATCTGCACTCCTTTGACTTTGCTTTATTTTGTTTGGTGGGGGAAGGCTGCATACTGAGAATTGCTTGCTAGGCAAGCACTCTATCAAACTTGAGCCACGGTTATTTTTGAGATAGGGTCAAACTTTATTCCTAGGCTGGGCTGGGCTTCAATCCTTTTCATTGTGTTTCCCTATATTGCTGGAGGTAACAGTCTAGCAGCAGTAGCAACACTAGTAGCACTCAATCATCGATGGAATTTCAGGAACTTTTATATACAGACTGGTATTAAACCTCAATTCCTTGACCTCTACTTCCCCCAAGTAGCTAGGATTACAGGCTTGAGCCTTGGCACCTAGCTGAATTATTTCTGAATTTGCTCAGAATATAGTTATGGAAGAATAGGACTAAGCACTGTTTTTCCTCCCCCAAAGAGTTCCAGCATCTCCTTTATGGGACATAAAGGAAGGAGAAAGCCACGGGAACTAAAATGGAAGAGAAAAGAAAAAAAAACTAGATGGACATGTAGAAAGACTTTGGAAGGGCCTTGATACATGATGTTATACTAGGACTTGACTATTTGGGAGAGGCATTTTGAACTTGTATTTAAAAAAGAAATGGAGCTGGGTGCCAGTGGCTCAAGCCTATAATCCTAGCTACTAAGGAGGCTGAAGTCTGAAGATCATGGTTCAAAGCCAGCTCAGTCAGGAAAGTCCATGAAACTCTTATCTCCAATAAACCACTGGATAACCAGAAGTGGACTTGTGGTTCAAGTTGTAGAGCACTAGCCTTGAGCTGAAGAACTGAGGGACAGTGCCCAGACCCAGAGTAAGCTCAGCTTTCAGTTGTGACATGAAAAAAAAGGTGTTAAACTTTGATGGACACTGTATTTGAGGCTTCTTGACAATTCTAAAATATAGTTTATTATCTTTTAAGTGGTTGTACAGAAGAGTTGTCACTAAACAAAGCAGTTTATGAATACAGTGCATCTTGATCAATGTCACCCATTTCAACAATCCCTCCTAATCCCACCCCTTCTTTCAATTTTCTTAATTTTGTAGGATATGAATTGGATTTTATGACTGCATTCCCTTCCTCCTTTTTTTTCATTCAACTATCCCCAACCCTTGATCCCATCCCTCTTTTAAATGTCAATATTTGTGTGTGTATGTGTGCTGGTTCTAGGGCTTAAACTCAGGGCTTGAGCTTCTTTGGCTCAAGGCCAACTCTTTACCACTTGAGCCACAGTTCCACTTCCCAGTCTTTTCTGAGTTTGTTGGAGGTAAGAGTCTCAAAACAAAGTCAGGCGCCAGTGGCTCAAGCCTGTAATCCTAGCTACTCAGGAGGCTGAGATCTGAGGATTGAGGTTCAAAGCCAGCCGGAGCAGGAACATCTGTGAGACTCTTATCTCTAATTAACCACCAAAAAATTGGAAGTGGTGCTGTGGCTCAAGGGGTAGAGTGCTTGCCTTGAGCTGAATTGCTGAGGGACAGCACCTAGGCCCAGAGTTCAAGTCCCACAATCAACAACAACAACAAAAAGTCTCATAAACTTTCCTGCCCCAGCTGGCTTCGAATGACAATCCTCAGATCTCAGCCTCCTGAGTAGCTAGGATGATGGGTTTGAGCCCCAGTATCCAGTTGGAGTACCAATTTCCTGATGTTTATTTTGTTGGACCTAGACTGTGAGTTAGCCTTTCTCAGGAATTACTCTTTGAGTTCTTCCCTGAACCTACCATATTTCAGGTAATACATTTGTGCACACTTGGATACCATCCCCAAAATGTTTCCTTATGCATTTGTAAATTAATGTTACCTTCCACATAGGAGAGAAAACATGCATCCTTTGTCTCTCTAGGCCTGACTTACTTCACTGAACATGATTTTTTTTCCAGATTCTTCCTATATTCTTTCCAACGGATGAGTAAAATCCCATCCTGTATCTGGACCATAGTTTCTTGATTCATCCATCCAATGAGGGGCATCTGGGCTGATTCTATATCCTGGCTCTGGTAAACAATGCACTGCATTTTCACCTTGGTGGATAGACAGAGACAATGACAATGACTATGTTCAGAGTGTTACATCAAACAAATGGTATTGGCTTTGACAAAGGCTTTGGCCTCTGTTAGATTTCTGACATTTTTCAAGTTTAACAATATAGTCTACCTAGAGCACCTTTAGCAAGTCACAAGTGGACCAAGCACGCCATCGAAGTAGAGTGTTTATCCAACATAGCTTTGGCTAATGCTAAGGAGAATTGCTACAGATCCTTTAGACCTGTTTGCATTGCTGGACAGAATAGGATTTTCTACTTTGGAGTGAAAGTAATGAGTTATTTCAATATTATTAAGGTCCTGACTTTACATTTCTAGCACCAGTTCTAGACAGGCTCCTCAAATTATCTTTTCATTCTTTTAATAAAGAAAGGAAAAATCTCACATCAAAATTTGCCTGGGATTTATGACACTCATCTACAAGCCAACATTGGTACAAGACTAGTGAACTATAATTAAAATGAGAAGCATTGTCAATAATTTTGGGATTCTAAATATAACTCCAATGAATGGGTATAGCAACAATAACTGTTGATCACAAGAATAGAGGAAAACATGCAAATAAAATCCACACTCAATGCTGGAAGCTTTAGTTGCTCATAGATTTTGAATATGCTACTAGGTGATGAGAAAACCATTTAGCTAAAACCTAATGCTTTGAACTGTCAGCAACGCAAATTTCTGACCACTGCAAACAGAGAGAAAGGCAATATGTAAGAATGGATATTCTCTACCCCCAAAGAGACAAATTGATGATTCCTAAATGTATGCTTTCTTGGCAGATTGATCCCCAAAGAGTTTTGATTCATAGGCTGTAGATTGCAGATAACAAGTATGAACTGACTATATCTATCTCCTCTTCCCACTTAGAGCATTGCGTTTCTACCCTGGCCTAACACTGGCTTTGTGCAACTTACTTTTGTATGGAATGATTACTCCTGGCATGAGAGAGTGGCTTGTTTTCTAAATTGGTAGATTTGGAATCGATGTTCAATGGTGTCTTCTGTCTTATTAATCTTTTGGGTCCTTTCAAATCGGAGACCTAACACAGAAATCAGAAATCCCAAAGGAAGGATCACTACCTCTTCCTGAGAGATGTAAGGCAGAAGAGAGTTGCTGATGAGGAGCAACTCAATGTAGGTATCTGGAATCCTTGTCTGAGTGTAAGTTGAATAACAAAACTCATTACAACATAAAATTTAAACTTCAAGCACTTAATTCCACAGGGGAAATAATTTGATATCAGACTTTATAATTCATTTGGACTTTAATATAATTTGACTTTCACTTGAAAGGAGATTTAATCTTTGAACTTCTGTGTTGCCTTGGGACTTTTATATTATTAGGGACCTTTATATTAAAAGTTGGAGTATTTCTCTATGGTATTGGCATCTTCCCACTACTCAAAAAATTATGTTCTTTCTCTCTCTCTCTTTTTCCTTGCCACTAAATCTCCTTGAAAAATTTCTGAAATTCTGTTGGAAAATGTAACTGGACATAATTTGGAAATAGAAGTAGAAGTGGAGGAACTTTGACTAGCTACTGGCATTAAAGTTGAAATGGTTAATGAAATGTGACTATGTGGATGTAGGAATTCTAAATGCAGACTCTATTGTGTCCTGGGACCACCAGGACAACCCAAAGGATGGGTTTTAAGTATTGGGGAAGCAACCTCATGAATTAAGAGTAAAACTTCCCTGATTACAGTTATCTGCTCCTTGTAGGGCTAAGCATGGTGATATTCTCATTTTCATGGGTTTAGAGAAAAGGAACTTTGAGGTGAATGCATATTCTTGCTCTTGAATCCTCCTGTGCAAACATAGGCTAGTCAGTTATCTCAGTTTCTCTCAAACTTTTTACTTGCTCCAGTCAGTAACTTCCTCTGAGTAATAGATATGATTGGTAAACAGGGAAGCTAAACCTCCTGTGTTCATCTCCCCTCTCTCTTCCTTCTAGATGGAGGAGTGAACCAAGCAGACCTGGGCATTTCAGACAGTTCTTAGGGGATGAATGCAACAAAGCTGTGGCAGGTTGAACAGATCAGAGTGGGAAGAAGGGCCATGCAAGCATTCACTTTGCTTTCTGGCAAAAGGGAGCCTCTTTCCAAGTGGTAGGAGAAATGAGAGTGCACAAAGAACTCAGCAGTGTTACTTTCAAGGAAATTCTTTCACATAGAAATGAAATACTTACATGTGACCCTCAATGATACATAGATACTCAACATACTCACAAGGTGGAGAAAAAATACCTTAAGAGTCTATACAGGCATTTATAATATTAGCACTAGGAGCTGGAGACTTATCATCAGACTTGGAAAAATCAGCTAGAAATTTTCAATCACACTAAATAAAAGAAGTACTATATCAATGTGAATTTCTTTTGAGTTCTTGCAGATGAAACTGAAAGGTCACTTGAATTATTACTTCATGCCTAATCTAACTACCCAAAGAATATTTTAAAATAATACGTTAGCTCTTTCTGCCTGATTGTATGGCAAATGAGTATTTTTTTCCATTGTTAAAATGGGGATGTCCCCAACAATTGTATCAGCAAATGCCATCTCAAGGTGAGATAGCCTCATCTATGTACTACACTTGTATTTGAACAAATAATTTGTGGGAAAAAATAGAATACAACAACGCTTAGCACATGAAGTAGAATGAAGTGGAGTGGAGTGGGGCAGAAGTTAGTGAAATTGCACTGAATTGGACTACACTGATCTGGACTGGATTTCAGAATAGCATCACAGTTGGCCTACTAAACATATAAGGAGAAGTTCCGGGAAGATGGCAAAGGAGAAGCTGGAGACTAAACAAGCTCTCTCATAGAAAGCAGTTTTAGTGTTCCAGTGAACAGTCCTAAGCCAGAGAATCACACCAAGTGTGCCATCACAGGACAGAGAGTTAGGCCAGAGAGGGAAAATCCAGGCAAGGAGACACATCTGAGCACTTGCCAGCAGTCACGGCTGCGGCGGCAGCGGCCATACCTGCCATACCTGCAACACAGTCCGGGACAAAGGTGCCAGACGAGGTGGGCGAGCAGAATCAACGCAACACCAGCAAGAACTGACAAGGAGCAGACATCTTCATCCTGTAGTTCGCAGACCAGAGACAACCCACGAACCAAGACTCCGGGGTGAGTAGCAGCCTGACATCCTCACTCCTCAGGGAGCAGAGGAGGGAAAGCCACCCCTACCCCCCCACTACCAGAGATCTCCATCTTTAAATCTGAAAAAGGCCTGGCTGAGCTGCTAGCCCCAACCTAGGCCTTGGAAGAAAACAAGAGTCATTTAGCAGGTCACAGGAACCTAAACTGACCTTCCAGGCTCAGATCCACCCAGGGAAAAGTCACCCAGCCCAGGCCGCCAGTCCCAGGAGTGGCTTTCTTCACTGGGTAAACAGAGCCAGAGGCTGCCCCTCCCTACAGCAGCCTTGACAATCAATGGAAATTCAGTAAACATAAACCCTGAGAATGGCTCCAGGCTGGGCTCTGTGAGTTTCTCAGAAGCTAGCTCCTCAGGGAAAAGCTGCTGTTTGCTGAAAGGCCTCAACTCTACCCAGAACCTAGCCTCAACACAGCATCTCCAAACTAGAGGAAACAGCTATCTCCCTCTTTTGTGATACTCAAAGCAGATCTCCTTCCCATTGAACTAGCCTGGGAGGAGGATCACAAAATCCTGGGTAATGCAGAGCATTTGTCTGCCTGCTCAAACAAACTGACTTAAGAAACCAACCAAGCCACAGGAAAATCAAACACCACATGCAGACCAGAGACTCCAACAAGAGGCTGGTTACGAAGATCCCCTGCAGTGACAGTGCCAGGCCATGGCTAGAGGAGAACGTGTTTGCCGGGCAGTCAAAGATCTATTCCTATATGAGCCCCAACAAATGCGCTGGAATGCGTTCCCCCCTTCAGGAAGAGAACTCAGTTGCACATCAGGAAGTCAAGTACCAGGGGAAACCATTAGCCGGAATCTACAAGAAGCGAGAAGAGAAAAGAAATGCTGGGAACACGATACGAAGCACCATGAAATCAGAGGAACAAAAGCTCAAAGATGCCAGGAGAAGTCCCCTGGCACCTTTTCCAAACCAAAAATCCGAAGCAGCAGAACCTCCAAAAACTCCACCCTCTTCCTGTGATCCTACCAATGCAGCTGTTGCCAAGCAAGCCCTGAAAAAGGCTCTCAAAGGCAAACCGGCTCCTCGGAAAAAAAAGTTCAAGGAAAAACACAACAGAATCGAAAACTCACAGACTTCTACCCAGTTCGAAAGAGCTCCAGGAAGAGCAAAGCTGAGCTGCAGTCGGAAGAAAGGAGACGGATAGAGGAGCTCATTGACAGCGGGAAGGAAGAGGGCATGAAGATCGACCTTACTGACGGCAAAGGCAGGGGTGTGATTGCCACCCCGCGGTTCTCCCGGGGAGACTTCGTGGTGGAGTACCGCGGGGACCTCATTGAGATCACTGACGCCAGGAAGAGAGAGGCGCTGTATGCTCAGGACCCCTCCACAGGCTGCTACATGTACTACTTCCAGTACCTGAGCAAAACCTACTGTGTGGACGCCACTCGGGAGACAAACCGCCTGGGGAGACTGATCAATCACAGCAAGTGTGGGAACTGCCAGACCAAACTGCACGACATGGCCGGCGTGCCTCACCTCATCCTCGTGGCCTCCGCGATATCGAGGCGGGGGAGGAGCTGCTGTACGACTACGGCGGCCGCAGCAAGGCCTCCATAGAGGCCTACCCGTGGCTCCAGCTACGACTACGGCGGCCGCAGCAAGGCCTCCATAGAGGCCTACCCGTGGCTCCAGCACTGACCGCACCGCCCTCCTGTGCAGGACTAAGTGCCCTCAAAGGGAAAGGATTTTTTTTTACACATTTAATCTTAGCAGATTACTTCAGATGTTTTTTTTTAAGTATATTAAGATGCCTTCTCACTGTAGTATTTAATATCTGTTTCCAGGTTCCTGAGTGGGCTTGAACAGATGGCCTTATATTACCAAAACGTTTATATTCTAGTTGTTTTGTACCCTTTTTGCATACAAGTGGAACGTTTGTGCTTCCCGTGCATGCGGTCCAGGACTCGGCACAGGTTTTAGAAGGAAGAGTCAGACATGAACTAGGAAGCTGAGCCAGCGTGCCCCACACCTGTCCTGGACAGGCAGGGCGCAGCGCCCCGGCCCGGCCTGGACGGCACGTCTCCAAGCTCTTGTTCTCTTTGTGTCTTGACCGGCACACATTGAAGTATGAATATTTTTTAAAAAGGTTTCGCAGTAGGCTAGTCTTCCCCTCTGCTTTCTTGAGCTTACCGACCCTGCTGGCTGCGAGCGTGGCCAGCCCAGATCGCTTCCCCCGAGGCCGCTGCTCCAGGCCTCGCCTGGAGCATCAGGGTGGAGGCCCGGGGAAGAGGCTCCGCTCCCCAGCCCTGGGCGGGCCTGCCTGACACGGGGCTCTTTATAGAAATGTGAACACTGAGTTTATTTAAAAAATAATAATAATAAAAATTTAAAAACAAAAGAAAATTTCAAAAACCCACAGGAAACAACTTAGGTGTATATAGGTCTTGCAGTGAGTGAAGTTTTTTGTTTCGTATGGGGTTTCTTTTTGCTTTTTGGTTTTGTTTTGTAGAAGAGAATGAGATGGTACTCTATTCTAATCAAAAATAAGTTTTGTAGTGGGACCAAAAATTATGTACCCGATGCCCCACCCACTTGTGCCAGGCGGAGTCCCCGCCCGCTCTGGAGGCCCTCTTCTGTCCGAACCCCTGGCTCCTGTGAACAAGCCATGAGCTGAAGCAGGACGGAGGGCCCTGGCCCCGGCCCCCACTGCCGCCATGGCCCAGGATCGAGGGTAAGCTCAGGTGTTGGCGGAGCGTGACAGCAGGTGGGGTACGCTGCCTCCTCCCTGGACGGGTAGGGCAGCTCCAGGCTGGGGCTCCTGCCAGCCCCGTGCCCAGAACAATGTGAATAGAGACAGGTATGAGGAGTGGCCCTTGTCCTATATCCCCCACCCTGGACCACACCACAGTGCTACCTAAGAAGTCTTCCCCAACCCCACTAGCCTGGCCAGTGGCCATCAGACTGGAGGAAGGTCCAACGAGGGTGTGTAAACGTGAGATGAAATGGCTTGGTTGTACCCATTTGTGGTTTAGCTTTGTACTTAAGCAAACAAAAAAGGAAATAAAACTTGAAATTATTTGTCATCATAAAAATGAAAAAAATTAAAATATTTATTGCCAGGCAAAAAAAAAAAAAGAGGCTGGTTACAGACACAAGAGAGATACAGGATCTTCACAACCCCCCCCCAAAAAAAAAAATCAAAGAACTCTTTTTTTGTACCTTTTATAAAAAAATTTTTTTCTAATACTTTTTTTTAGTTTTTAACTTCTAACTTTAAAAAATTTGTTTTCTATTAACTTTTTTTCTTCCTCTTATAATTTTTATTTTAGGGGTATATGTGTGTACTTTTTTTCTTTTTCTTTCTTTTTTTTTGGGGGGGGGTCCAGTTGTGGGGCCTAAACTCTGGGCCTGGGCACTGTCCCTCAGCTCTTCAGCTCAAGGCTAGCGTTCTACCACTTGAGCCACAGCGCCACTTCCGGCTTTTTCCTTTTTGCTTATGCGGTGCTGAGGAATCGAACCCAGGGCCTCATGCATGCAAGGCAAGCACACTACCACTGAGCCATCTTCCCAGCCCTCTTTTTTCTTTTTTTTTTCTTTTTGTTAATTTTTTTTTGTTTAGCTCTACTGACCTTTTGAGCCTTTTTTTCCTTTCCTTCTCATTCTTTTCACTTTTTCTTCTCTTTTGTTCTTCTTTGCGTGACTTAATTGCTGTTCTGCTCATCTTCAGATATACCTGTAGTCGATTATTAGACCTTAGCCCCCAGTGTGTACACACTTAATCCAGAAATTTATTACTCAATTTAAAATCTCTTAGACTTAAATTCCTTAATAAAAGTACTACCTCTTTATATCTATATAATATTTTAAGCATTTTTATTTTTAAGTTTTTCACGTCTCCTTTCTATCCCTCCTCTTCTCTTATTCTATCCACATTAGTCTCTGAATATTACTTTTTTAAATTTGCATAATTTTTAAGTGTTGCACTTTTAATTTTTGTTTTTCTATTTTTTCTTGTCTTTTTTCTTTCTCTTTCTTCTTTTTTCTCTCTCTCTACTATCATTCTATCCAACCTATTTCCCACCTTGAGATTAGGATTTAGTTAAGTTAGCTCTTCCACTACCTTTCCACATCCCTCTATTCCTATTTTTACCCACATCTCTCCCTAAGCCTAATAATTTCTGGCTTGCCAAATTCTTCTTTGTGGTTCCTATGCCATTGATACATAGTTGTTTGATGTTGAATATATATATATATATATATATATATATATATAT